ACCTAAAATAGAATAGAAAATGCTTACGAGTATCTTCCTTATCCTACTCCAGTAGTGGCGTAACAGGTTTTTTCCCTGTAAATAACTCTTTTTCTTTCTAACATAAAGTGGCAAACGAGCAAGCTGAATGAATCCGCCAAAATGGCGAAGCGACCGCTGCACAGACATCCGCAATTGCAGATGCGTTGCCTACCCTTATTCAACAGAGAAGAGGATGTTTGCCCCATGTATCTCCTCCTCCGTCAAATCCACTTCCCCCTCCCATCCTCTTCTTAAAAGAGGATGGTAAAGAGAAAGGGACTTAAATTAGGCTTCCGGCACCACACTCATCAGAAGAAACACGGAATTGCTTCCATTTCATGGCTGTCTTCTGTGTGGTCGTGGTATTACTGGGGGTGCGCCGGCCCTGCACTGCTAAGATGTTAAAGCGTGCACTACCACTGTAGTACAACTCTATTGTCTCAGTCACTCCTTTCTTCATGTCACCTTTCATACAATACTTCTCTTTCCAACAAAATAATACATCGGTAAATAAGTGTATTTAACAGAGAGTCTCGAAAGTTTCAAGAATCTTTTTTAACAAACCTTTTACAGTTTGGTGTACTGGTGATTTGCTTTTCTCTCTTTCATCTCTTCTTTTGTCTTTTTCTAAATCCATTTCTTTATTTGCATTTAATTTGCTTCCATCACTAACACTTAACCTATTTGTATGACTGCTCTGTGGTAAATCTTGAATTAATTCATTCGATTCTTTTACATGTGTACTAGAGAAAAAGACAAAAATTAATCAACAATACTTTATTTAGTAAGGACTAAGTAGTATATATATTTACGTATATTTTTAAGATTATATGAGCTGTCACCCGCATTCGTTAGAGCAAATTTGGACCACTTGAATTCTGACAGTGCGGAACTTAAAAAGAAAGTAGCCTATTATACCCCTATCTATATTAGCTACTCTCCAGTGAAAGTCCAAATCGAAATCGGCCTATCTGTTTCGGATATTAACAGAACAAACGCGGCTCGCGGACGGACAGACAGACAAAAATAATTTAAATGCCATTTTCGTTATCAGCAACGTAAATACATCTTCCAGAAATCTGTATTTCTTTTTATGTTACAGACACTCTAAATCTATTATATATATTGATAGAATATAGATAAATTGTTTTTACAAAAAAAGAAATCTGACATTACAAAAAATGCTAAATCCTGCTTCAGAAAACTACTTTCAACCTTTTACTGATGTTATTCTTTGAAATTAACGAATAATTATCACCTTTTTTTTAAAACAATAATAGCTATTTCTATATAAACATACCTTGTACTTTCTTTTATAAAATTCTTAGCTGGAGTATAAAG